CTTCGCCTCCCAAAGTGCTGGGATTATAGGCTGAGTCACTACACCCAGCCTCTATATCATGACTTCTTTCATGGCGAGTAAGGTGACTGGAAGGAGTGTAGGCTTTACCGCATCTCTTACATTCATAGGGTTTTTCTGCAATATGAATTCTTTCATGGAGGTGAAGGGAACTGAGGCAACTGAAGACTTGGCCACATTGTTTACATTCATAGGGTTTCTCTCCAGTATCAGTACTTCTATGGTTACAAAGGGAACTCAAATGACTAAAGGCTTTGCCACATTGTTTACATTCACAGGGTCTCTCTCCAGTATGAACGCTTCCATGCTGAGATTCCTTCAGAGGACTTTATTTCCTCTTCTCAGTGCAAATTATCTTATATCTTTCCCAGGTTTTTCGAAGTGATCTTCAATATTCTGGTCTTTCCATTTGTTTCCTAAAATGCAGACCCACAAAATTATCATGAATTATTACAAACTATAGAAACATTACTAGATTTCATGTTCATTGTACACAGTGCCCATGCCTAATTTATTCACCAAATCATTCCCTTGCCACATTCCAAATCACAAATAGCACTGATGATAGGGAAATACTTCTGTAATTAAGTGAAATGTGTTGTCATTCTTACCTACAGAAGCCAGGTTCCTGCAGGTTTCCTGCATCACTTCTCTGTAGAGATTCTTCTGAGAAGAATCTAGCAAAAACCATTCCTCCTGAGTAAAGTTCACAGCCACATCCTCAAAAGCCACGGAGTCCTAGAACATTCCACACATGTGGAGAGAAGGATGGGTGAGACTGACAGCACTGGGAATCTATACTCAATTCCTAAGCTGTTTACATGATTCTAAAATTTCCAAGCATTTATTCTATGACTTGATTGTCACAACTCTTACTCTCTTCACACATACTCCCTCCCACACAGCAGTACTAATGCTAGAATTGAACTATTCAAAAAGGCAACAGCAAAGTAGAAACACCCATCTCATTAGAGAATCCAGGGAGTAAGATGTGCTACTAGGAGTTACCTTTTAACTTCACTTTGTACATTTCTAGTATCTGTCATAATAAAGTCCTACCTGATGTGCATAAGTGAGTTAATAGTCCTGAGACTACTTATTGTTAAAAATGCCTGCTCGCAAAGTTCAATCTTTGTTTGTATTAGTAACTTACATTTTGAAAGGGATTCCACCAACCTAAATAATAAGAGTGACTCACTGCATCTAAATGGCTTATGCAATATATTTGCCAAAACTTTTTCTGCTGAAGGTCTATTATTTTGTGTCACTGCAGTGGTGCTTAGGGAACCAGACACCAAAACACAGTCTGAACAC